TAATAAAAAAAATTTATTAAGTAAATCATCTTGAAATTTTGAAACACATTTTATAATAGAAAGCATTTATTTTTTGATGGTCGAATATTTTGACTTAGTAGGATTCCATTTACCAGAGGTAAACCTAACCAAAACTTCTTTGGATGTTTTAGGTATAACCTGTTTTAGAATTCCTCCATATCCTAAATCTGAAGCATCATTTTCAACGATTTTAAAATACTTGGGATTAGCCAGAGATAAGCAAGGCAAACATTTAACCTTGTTTTTAATTCTTCGGACTGCTTGAGAATGTTTATCAGTCCAAGGGCCAGGATTTTTTCTAAGCCTAGCATGTAATATACTAGTATCATTAGCAAGATTCTCATAGTAATCGGCAATATAATTAAGACTACCAAGAAATCTTTGTAATTGTTTCTTATCAGTAATGATATCAGGGAACTTAGAAGCAAATTCAATACTTCTTTGAATAGGAATAATAGTCCCTTGATCAATTTCATGTCCTAAAAATCTAATTTTAGTTTGAAATATTTTCATTTTAGGCGTGAATATAACTAATCCAGTATGCTTAATTAAACCTTTGAATATTTTCAAATGTTTCATATGTTGATTAATTGTTTTAGTAAAAACTAAAACATCATCAATGTAAATAATTATAAATTCCGTATAAGGAATAAAAATATCATTCATAATATTTTGAAATTCGGAAGGGGCGTTCTTTAACCCAAACGGGAGGATATTCCATTCGAAATATCCAAAAGGCACAGTAAATGCCGTTTTATACTTATCATCTTCATTAATCTGAATTTGCCAATAGCCAGATTTCATATCGAATTTCGAAAAGATTAAAGCAGTGTTTAATCTATCTAATAAATCTTTTTTATTAGGAATAAGATATCTAATCCATTTCAACACCTTATTAAGGGGTTTATAATTGATAACAAGTCTAGGGACGTCGCGTTCTCTTTCAGCAGCATTATTAACATAAAAAGCAGTGCAACTCCAAGGAGATTTAGATTTTCTAATTAAACCTTTCTCTAAAAGAGAATTTATTTCTTCCTTACATAGGTTTAAGTACTCATGATTCATTTGGGTTGGTCTGGCTTTAGTGGGAATCTGACTTTCATTAAAGTCATCTAGATAAGGTAAAGAAATAACATGTTTCTTTCTATCCCAAAAAGCATTTGGAAAATCATTGCAAACTTCATCTTTAAACTGTTGATCAATTAATTTGATTTGTCATTTTATCTCATCTTTATTAAGTTGTTCATTAATATTTAATAAACTAATTTCTTCTTTAAGAAAACCTAATTGTTTTTCTTTATTTAAGAGAATACTTTTAACCTCATTAAACATTTTAATATGAGGATCAGTAATGAATTCAAAAGTGGCTTTCTTATCATTAATCATGGTGGTGATGCCTTTAGTGTCAACATTTATTAAAGGTATAATGCTATTTAAAAAAGGAGTTCCAAGAATAACCCTGTGAGTCATGTTTTTAACTAATATAAAATGGGTAGGTAAATAAATATCTTGATTGCAAACGTAGGTATTAGGTAATTTATAATTAACCATTAATTTGTCACCACTAGCCTGAGCAAGGGTTTGAGTGGTTTTGGTATAATATTTGGTAGGAACAATTCCTTCCCGAAGACAATTAAGGTCAGCGCCGCTATCAATAAGGGCGACTTCATTCTGTAATATAAACGTTCTGTTAATAACTAAAGTTATTCTAACAAACCATTTTTGAGAAATTACTCTGCCAATCAGAGTAAGAAATCTATCATTAGTGGAAAGACTGCTAGTAGAAGATATTTCTTCAACTTTAAGGGTACCCGTTTCAAGTAAGGAAACCCTTTGAGATAATTTTTGATTATCCTTCTTTATCTGAATAATTTCAGATTTTAAAAGATTAATTTCTCTGTTTAAATCAGTAAGGGAAACAGGAGTTTCACGGATATGGGACTCTTGAAATCTGGATAGAACCTCACTTAATTGGTAAGGGGCTTCAATAATAATAGGAGATTCTTTTTTAGAGTTTTCTTAAATTAAAAATTCAAGCATTTTTCTTTTAAGATTATTATCAGAAATAGATTCAATAGCTTTTATAGCTTCATCTTGTTCTGCAGTAAGAACATTAAGACCGTTCATGTCTACAATAGACTTCCAATAATCTATTTGATTATATTAACAATTATTATTGTCAGAACTATCAGAGGAATAATCTGATGATGATTCATATATCATGTCAATATCTTCATTAGAAGAATTGGTTTCTGAGTCAGATTTAAGTAAACAAACTTTCTCAAGTTGAGAGCGTAATTGCTCATCCTCCATTTCATTGAGAGCTTTTTTGGTCCAACATTGATTGGCATAGTGACCAGTTTTACCACATTTGTGGCAAGATACATCAAGCATTTTAGCTTTTCTTTTGCCTTTATGATTAAAAGTCTTTTCTTTTGGTTACTTTTATTAAAGTGACCCTGTTTCTTATTCTTCTTATAAGAGTTTTTATAATTATCCTTATTTTTATGAGGTTTATTTTTGAAATTTTTTCCTTTTTTCTTTTTATTCTTAGGAGATCTTCCAAGATCAAAGGCGAACTGGTCGCAGAATTCACCCATTTGGTGTTTTTCAGAAAGTTTCTGTTTTTTAAGCTGATTTCTAAGCTTAATATCATTACATAAGGTTAATCCTTCATTAACACAAGTACTAATAATTTGACCATAAGTAAGATCAGGATAATTAATATTTATCCCATCATTTTTACTTCTTAAAGAATGTCTAACCTTTTCAGAGAAGAAATGAGGTAATCCATCAATAAATATAGCTTTCCAGTGGATAGAGTTAGGATTTTTTTAATTGATAAACTCTAGATAAAAAGGTATCTTTGTACCATCTAAAATGTGTAAGGGAGAGACATCTTAGATTCTGAAGTAAAGTTTGAATTTTTTCTCCAATAAGAATATTAGTTCAAACAAAATGTTGAAGGATAGAGAGACACAGTGTATAAACCACATCTTCTTCTCCTGTGGTGGCAATACCACTTGTTCCGATTCCAGGAACTTTGGACTTAACTATTTTCTTATGATTAAGAATATCTTTTTTCTGATTATCAGTGAGATAATGATCCCACCAATATATATATATATATATATATATATATATATATATATATAGATATATATATATATATATATATATATATATATATATATATATATATATATATATATATATATATATATATATATATATATATATATATATATATATATATATATATATATATATATATATATATATATATATATATATATATATATATATATATATATATATATATATATATATATATATATATATATATATATATATATATATATATATATATATATATAGGAAGTGTATGTTGCACTACAATAGCTTAACTGTACATGACACCACTTTTCCATCCAAGCCTGGTTTCTTTAAGATCTGACAAGCAGAGTAGTTTGTTTTCACCATAACATTGTGTCCCTGGATGTAAGGCCTAAAATTTGTCATTGTTATCGCTATTGTTGATGTCAACCTTTATATCTTATGATATCTTAACTCCACACCTAATAAAGTAGACCAATAACTCGTTTCCTTCTTATTCATTGACTAGTATCGAGTTCATGGCTTTAACAATCTTTGATAAGTACAAGAATAAAGGAACACCCTTTGTTGGGTGAGCCAAGACTATAAATGTCACCAAAAAGGAATTAAGTCTTGAAAAGGACCTCCCATGCCTCAGCCCACTCAAAATTATCTTTCTTTCTTGGGGTGACAAAAAATTGAAAAGTATTATCTTTGATACAAGAGAGAAAATGAGAGAGTGAGAGCAACCATGCACCCTGTCAGTTATTGTACTCATTTGACCAACACGGGGCATCTCATAATGATGATGGTTTGACATATGTTTGTGTTTGCTTTTATCGTTCTCTTGGTTAGCACGAAACTTAGGAATTTTATCGCTTGGACACTGAATGAACACTCTGTCGATTTAAAGACATGTTGTATTTCATGACCAAGTTCAAGATGTCTTTTAGGCTTTTGCAATGGCCTCCCACGACAGGGTATTCACTACCATGTCGTCTATATATACCTAAATATTTTATTTAATTTGATAGGACAACATCCATCAACATATAATAGGTGGTGCCTACATTCTTGAGGTTGAAAGACACAACTTCATATTAATAATTATAGTTGTAGACATTAAGGCAAATTTGGGTGTGTGTATACCCATTTTGATATTTTCATACATAAAATTAGCGTCCTTGAAACTCAACTTTATATACCTCGACAAACCATCAATTAACATATTAATATTGCATAAAGAATAAGGATCATTATGGAACACATCACTATAAAATTAAGGTCAATGAATCTAGCACATCCTTCACTTCTTCAATGTCTTCTTCATCAATATTATATTGTCCAATGATGAATTTTGCATCTTTTATTTTTTTGACTTTTTAATCAATGGCCATCATTCTCTTCTCGTCCACATTATGCTTTCTCTAAATCACCCGTCTAATTTAGGCATATCATGTGATTTGATGATCAACATAAAAAAAATAAAATATTTATTTATTTTAACTTAATAATATTTAAATATTTAAGCAAACTATATAATTTTACATCTGTATATAATAATGCCGTGTCACTTAAAATATGATACATCACTAATTTTTGTTCAAAATAATAATACAAAAAATAGACCAAAATTGATTGATTTTTTTAATACAAGAGAATGATAACTAAAAGCGTCTTCTTAACTTTCATTGAATTTTACGTGAAGATTTAAAATTCAATAAACATAACTAAAAAAAAAAAAAAAGTAATAAGTGAAAGTCCGGCCCATAAACAGAGAGCATATAAGAAAGCCCAAAATCCAACATTAGGGTTCTTATTCTCAGTGTGAGCGTGAGTGAAGGAGAGAGCGGCAGCAACAGAAACCCTAGAATCAGAAAAAAATGCCTGCCGGTCATGGTTTACGGTCCCGAACCAGAGACTCCTTCTCCCGCCCCTTCCGCAAGAAGGGGACAATAGCTCTTGCAACCTACCTCCGGACATACCATATCGGCGACTATGTTGACATCAGAGTTAACGGCGCCGTTCACAAAGGTATGCCTCACAAATTCTACCATGGACGCACCGGTCGTGTCTGGAACGTCACCAAACGTGCCATCGGTGTTGAAGTCAACAAACAGGTATGTTATTGGTTTCTTCAGATCAAAGCCTTACTGAGATGCGATATTGTTATAATAGATAGAATATTGCGAATCTGTGTGCTTGTGAGTATTTGTTATGTAAACTGGATATTGCGAATCTGTGTGCTTGTGAGTATTTGTTATGTAAACTGGGTATTGGTGACTCTACTTGTAGGTTAGGAACAAGATCTTGAGGAAGAGGATTCATGTTCGTGTGGAGCATGTCATGCCGTCTAGGTGCACTGAGGAATTCAGATTGAGGAAGATCCAGAATGATAAATTGAAGGCTGAGGCCAAGGCAAAGGGAGAGGTGATCAGCACCAAGCGCAAGCCGGAGGGTCCCAAACCTGGTTTTAAGGTGGAGGGTGCTACATTGGAGACTGTTACTCCAATTCCTTATGATGTTGTTAATGATCTTAAAGGAGGGTATTAGAACTTTATTTCTGTTTTGTTTTTCTTTTAAAGGAGGGTATTAGAACTTTATTTCTGTTTTGTGACTGCCTGAGTTGGTTTTCTTTATCTCAACTTTCCTTCAATTTTATGATAAATCAAACTATGTTTTTTTTTTTGGGTTCATTTTCATACTGCTATATTGTTCTTTCCAAGAACTCGAGGATCTATTGGTATTTAAGGTTAGAGTTCTTTGCTGACAGTGAGGATCTATTGGTATTTAAGGTTAGAGTTCTTTGCTGACAGTAGAATTTAGCTGCTAATTTTATTGTTACTCGTAAGAATCACAGTTCAGGGAGACTTTCTGTCTATCATAATATGCTCAAATCGGTAAACACAATACATTCTCCAAATGAATTTTTTCAAAAATATATTTTGACATAAATATACTACCGAATGGTCATTCTGTTAAACATCGCATTTTCACCAAGTGGATTGCAAAATATCCTAATTCGTTCATTTGGATGATCTTTGTGAAGCTCATATATTCTTCTTTGAAGGGAGGTACATTTGTAATGCATATGAAGCAATGTTAAATCATTTTTCAAAGGTCAAGTAAAACTTGAATTTTTAAAAACAGCTGCAATTTCTTTTAGAACTGTGCTCTTTAATTTCAGTCCTCTAAAGTTTAGAACTTCAAATATCTTTGTCAAAATGTTGTATTTTGAGTAGTGTTTGTTAAAATGTTGTATTTTGAGTAGTTGTAATTGTGTTGTCAATCTTAATTCTTCTTTCTGGAAAAGATTATGGACCTATTTATTTCAGCTTTATGAATTTTTTATTTTTTGTATTTGTATTTCTAAAAAAATTATGAGTCTGTTTTTTTGGCTTTTTAAAAAATGATCTTTATATGTAATTCAATTTTGTGTAAAAAATATTTTACAAAGAAATTTTCCATAAAAACTTTAAATAAAAATTTGATTTGAATAGTTTTTAAAATGTTATCTATTATCTATCTATAAAAATGATAGTCCCTGGAAATTACCATAACACCACACCTGAAAAAATTCATTGTTGGTCTATTGTATTGGGGTAAAATTAGAAACTCCAAAATATCTTGCACCACATTGATTTGAATCTGATGTGGCACTCCCACAAATTTTCACCACATTTTCAAATTTTTTTTTTTCAAATAAATCCCACATATTGTGAGAAACCCAACCACGGGGAATACCAATTCATTATTCCTTGCTATTCATTGTGCCTCTCTTCCTCTTCCTCATGCCAAACCATTATGCCTCTCTTAATCAAAATTCATGCCAAACCATTATGCAAAATACCTTTCAATACCCTAATTTATACTGTAACATGTGAAACAATGCATGAAATTGGAATATTGTCGCTCATTATTAAAATTCCAAAGTTAAAGAATTGATGTGCAGCCATATTAATCACATGGAGAAACACAAAACGTTTCCATCCTCTCCAAAATTCTTTTATTGATTTGTATTTCATTCAGATCTCTTCATCTGTAATACTTTGTTCTTCTTCATTTCTTCCCTCTCCATTTAGCTGTTGTCATTACATACTCCCATCTGGGTTTTTGAAATTTGAAGAAAATAAATCATGGAGGTTAAAAACGATAGGGTGAAATTCAATGTTGCATGCAGCTTACATCGAAAAGCAACAACACAAGCCTATAGACTACAATCCAAATCTGAAAAATTAAAGTGGAACATTAGCATCAGAGAAAGTAAAAAAGGAATGTGGAACTCCGACGCGTCCAATCCCACCACTCTGATCCCAACCGCAAAGACCGTTACCGATGGATCTTCTTCCAGCACAACCAAGCCCCTGATCGCAAGAACTCAACCTTAACGAAGTTGTCCTTAAAACGCATAAATCCGTCGAACGCGATACATAGCTTTCCATCTCTGGGCGTACGTTTGTGGTACCTCTATTTCATTCCATGTGTTCATTTCAATTATTGATTTGTCTTGATATCATTTGCTAAAAATGGTAGAAATTTGAGATGTGGGTTTTATTTCTTTAAAAATGAAAAGAAATCCATTGATTTTGATTTACAATGAAAAGAAGTTATTCTTTCTCCAAGTTTGGATTCACCGGGTAGTCAATTTGATTGTTTGGCCCCTTACTGTTTCAATTTCTTTTTTGTCTGATTGTTTGGAATCATCAAGCTTATGGTTCCTATAGGTATAAACTGATTCTATGCTTTTTCTGTTGTTGTTACAGCTTATAACATCATCTGTGGCTCGCCCTCTTGAATCTGTAAAGGACATCAATGAGTCAAAAGATTCATGGAAGATTGCAGTTAGGTGCAGACATGTCTAGCATGTGACGAGTGCTTCGAAAAAGGAACACATTGAGATGATTTTGGTTGATTCTAAGGTATGACGGCGGTGGTTATGTTCGTAATATACCTTCTCAAACCTTTGGGTGTCTGTAATATTGACTTTTTATAATTGTTTTTTTGTAGAGAGATATGATTCAAGCCATTGTATTACCTTTTTAGTTTCAAAATTCAAGGAACATCTTGCTGCTAGATGCTCATACATAATGCAGAATTTCAAAGTGTCTAACAATGATTCTCTTTTAAAACTAATCATAGCTGCTTATGATTTCTATCTTTGTTTTTTGTTGTTTTACTTTTCAGCTTCAATCATTGTTTGATCTTCGTTTTGATTTGCTTAGTTATTTTGTTATATTTTTAACCCATTGATGTATAAACAACTGTACTGTATTTTTTTGGAGTAAACTGATAAAGTTGCTACATTATATATAAGGAAGTGTTTGGTTTCACTGCAGATTTAGTGTAGCTTTTAGCTTTTTTGAGTTGTAATTTTTTATTAATTAATAAAGGTAATATAATTGTAAGTGTGTTGATTTAATGTTTGTTTACGATGCAGACAACGAAAGTGAAGGATACCGGTTCTGCGGTTAAAAATGTGTTATCGGTTATTGAATCTTTGAAGAAGCAAGTAGCTATGAAACATATTGTTTCACTCAAGGTATAATTGCTTTACACCTGCTTGTATTTAGTTGTTGATTTTGTATTTGGATTTTTGGTTTAATGTTGGGTGTTCCAAATAAAAAATTCTCTGAATCATAAATTCTCAATTCAATCGATCTAATAAATTAATAACTATTTTGTTTGTGTCTGTTTGTTCTCCGGTATCGACTAATCTGTTTGAAATGATGAGCTTAAGTATATCTTTGGAATTCATGGAGAAATCAAAGAAGTAAGTGCAAATAATTGGTTTTTAACCATCTTAGTTGCTTTTTATTTTATGAAGATTATTCAAGACTATTTGAATATTATGTTTCTAATTCCATATCTATGAATATCAATAAATTTTACATCCACGACTTTTTGAGTTTTCTAGATCTTTCAAAATGTTTCTATTGGTTCTATTCAAGCAATTGCGAAGACATCAAAATAGCAAATTTTTGAGAGCACATAAGCATTATTGTTTGTATTCTATGAACTTATTTGTTATCAATTGAAGATTTTCTCATGAATGTAATGAAAATGAATTAAATTGAATAAGAAAAGGTTTTGTCTGTGGTCATAAATTTACTGTTATATTGCTGTGTCATTGTATTTTGCAGGTTATTAGGACTTATGCTTTGAACAAAACATGGTGGATAAGTTTTCTGATGGATATTATTAGGGACATTGTTGATGTTAAGGGCAATATCTCTGCCTACAGTAAGTATTATGGAAATATATAAACTTAAAGAAATTTATTTTAATGTTTACCATCTCTACTGACTAATGTATGTTTATAAGAAATTTATTTTCATTGTGTTCTTGACCGCCAAGTCAAAGTCATATGAAGCTATATATATAAATGATTAAAGTTAAGCCCATATGAAATATTTGATAGTACAATAAATCATTAACACAAATATCATATTTTCAAATATCATATATTTGATTGCATATGGAGTCAAACCGAAAAATTGAAGCTATCAACAGAGAAGTAAGGGGATGCTAGATGGATATTTGTTAGTATATGTCGGTTTGTTATAAAGGAGTTATATAATTGGGACATTTTTGGGTGCAGAATCTAAACAATAGACAAAAGCTTGGCTGTGAGAAGGGAACTGGTATCGATAGAGCAAGGATGAATATGACAAAGTAAATTTATAATACATATTTTTATTAGCTTACTTGATAAAACATCTTGAGAAGCTGAAATATCTACTTTTTCTTGCAATCACAATTTCTTGATTAAGAAATTCAGGGATCTCATGATAGAGTTTCAGGTATTTTAATTCGAACCGCCTAATGCTGTAAGTTCTCTATTCTCATAACAATAGATTTGGCCGATTTCTGTTGTATATATGTGATATCAAGTGTTATTAATTATTTCAAATTTGTTACTGCTTTGTTTCAGACGTATAGTGCTTCAAATGAGATTGTAGGAATCTCAATTACCAGTGGAAGAGCTGGAAGTGATGAGTTATGTGTTAATCGCGTGTGTATGTATGTATTTCGAATGGCATATTTTATGTATGAAACTGATTTTGTTCTCACGCGTTTGCAGGTTGAATACGTATCGATGCATATGAAATTGATGATGAAAAGGACATGCTCAGTAGGAGCTGTGATTCGCTGAAATTGAATATATGCAGAAGAGGGTTAATATTTTTCTTTGCATTTAAAAAGTGATTATTTAAAAAAAGTACTTTCTCACAATTTCTCTTTGCAACCAATACATCTTTTATTGCGAAACTGCCAAGACCTTAGCTTCATTACATTCTGTTAATGTGGATTCCATTGGTATTGGAAATTACAGGTGACATAATGATTATTGCAGAAGACATGTAAGTTCTTTGAGAGTGTGCTAATTTACGGTTAAGGTTATGCCTTGAAGAATATTTTGTTTTTTGTAAATAGATATACTAATGGATAATTTGCTTATTTTAGATTGAGAGATGAGATAAGCAATATGTGTCTTCAACCAGTGAAGGTAAACCTGCAAGCAATATGAAAATGTATGATTATTGCTAGAATGCATAATTTATTAATTCATCAAATGATGAAAACATCTTATACACAACAAATATGCCAACTGCAAATGGTACTCTCGGGTTGATATTTGTGAGCACATAATTAGCTACAAGTTTCTAAACTGCTGTACAAATTGGACCTTACACAGTGAAAAATATGTGCTATTTAAATTTGATAGGTATCTGAAATTGGAATGGTGAAATTGAATAATACTGAATTTTTACTACCATAGATATATATTGTATTTGTTACAGTGTTGCAATCTCATAAAATTAATGGAAAAACTATGCAAATGGCTGCATACTAGCTCCTTGCGAGATGAAAACAGGAAATTGTACTGGAAGATAACACCCATTGCTGATAGAGAAACGACTTCTCTATACAATTAAAGCTACTGTAAAACCATTCAATAGAGTTCACTCCGGCCCCTTACCTCTCCCCTGACTTCCTTTATAGCCACCCTCTCATAATGGGTCTATCAAAATTCTGAAACTACATAATAAGTATAGAAGGTTTGATGATGACATAGATAAATTACTTCATGATATTTTTACACAGTTTCTAGGTGCAAGTTATTTTCTATTATGTTGGATTGTGATTTATGTTTCCACTTTATCTAAAATCACTCATCTACTGAATACAATGGTGATTTTACTATATATATATATATATATATATATATATATATATATATATATATATTGGTTTTCTATATCATACATATGTCTTCTATACTGATACAACTAATAGCTATTTCAAACTTTATTATGTTCAGAAAAACCAAATTCTTCCTACTGATAGTAATGAGAGTGATAACAATATGAGGCTACATCTTGGTGATTGTCTCAAAATCAATGCTAACCCTCCAAAGAAGATTACAATGCATATTCATCAAGAATTTTGACGGTTGGCCTCTCAATCATAATTGCAAGGGGTTTTGTAAAACTATAGGATCATGAATGACTTCTCAATCAGAGAAATTAAAAACCTCCACAAGAGGACATCAACCACAGTGTATATCCTTTGTTTTTCAATGTTTTATTTAGATAAAGAAATCACAGTTTGTCGATTATATTAGCTAATATTTATAATTTCCTATGAGATACCACGAGACTCATATGATACCAAAGATTTCTTACAAATACATATTAAAGAAGATAATATGAAATGATTATTAGGCATTATATTAAACCTCCTAACTAAAACTATAGGCCAAATTTAAAAATAAAAAATGGTAAAAAAGTTTTATATTACTCTTACTCCCTCTCTCCCATAAGTGTTTCTTTTAGGAAGTGTTTCTTTACTTTTTTATTTATTTTTTATTTTATATAAAACATTAATTCATTTTTATCCACTTTAAAATCACATAAATTCTTTATCCCATACAACGTTAATTAATAGCCATTAATAATTGATTTCCCGATCTATTGGATTTCCCGATCTATTGTAGTCAAATTGGATTTCCCGATCTATTCATTACCTTTACTTGCAATCCATGTTGGCCAGAGATTCAGAGGTTTCTTAACAACATGAATTTACAAAGAATATGTTGGAGTAGTCCGCGACAGTTTTAGAGATGCATGCTTTGAGATGGGATTTCTTAACGACGACAAAGAGCAGGCCGTTCTGATATTGTTCATGCTTCCATTTGTTCTTCTTATGTGTGGGACTATTTCCAAGTCTTAACACTAACCAAAAACATGAGACTAAAGAATGGGAGGGACGATACAACTTCTGATGAACTTGCAGAATTCTCTAAATGGATATTAAATGTTGGCGACGGTAAAATATGTGAACCTAACGATGGATTAGCTGATATAGAAATTCCTCCGGATTTGTTAATTTCCAATTTTGAGGATCCAATAAGAGCTATAGTTGAAAGCACATACCCAAATTGCTTGCCGACTTTCAAAATGTAGAATTTCTACAAGGAAAAGCAATACCTGCTTCAACCATTGAAGTTGTTGATAAAATTAATCATTACGTGTTAGACATGATACCGGGTAAACTATTTTTTCTTTTGATGTTTATTTTCGTGTAGATGTTTCGTTATTAAATTATTCTTGAAAAAACATTATGAATTGATTTGCGTTTTCCCATTTCTTAGGTGAGGACAAAAAGTATTTGAGTTTTGATTCGATTGATAGAACTGATTCAAGTTACACCGAAGCCTATGAATGTCTTACTCCAGAATTTCTTAGCAAGCTTAGGACTTTAGGTGTCCCAAATCACAAACTCAGATTAAAGGTTGGTACACCAATAATGCTTATGAGGAATTTGGACCAAAACGATGGTTTGTGTAACGAAACTAGACTAATTGTTACAAGGTTGGCAAATCACGTTATTGAGGCAAAGATCATGTATGGTAAGAATGTTGGTAACATCTTTTACATCCCTCGAATGTCTATGTCACATTCCGAGTCACCGTGACCATTTAAGTTGATTAGGAGACAGTTCCCAATTATTGTGTCGTACGCAATGACAATTAATAAGTCTCAAGGCCAATCACTTGATACAGTTGGATTGTATTTGCCTACTCCTGTATTCAATCATGGCCAGTTGTATGTAGCCATTTCAAGTGTTACAAGCAAAAGTGGTCTGAAGATCTTAATACATGATAGTATGAATGTATCAACATCTTTCACTACAAATGTTGTATACAAAGAAGTTTTCCAATCTCTTTGTTGATCGGTAAGTACATAATAACAAATATTTTCTTTAATATAAATTGTTTCCGTAAATGCTGTCTAATTTTTGCATAATTTATTGTGCGGGTCAAAAAGTTGAAAACACCGTTTCCAAGCTGGTTGCATTGTATCTGAAGACTCGTGATAATTTCTTATTTTGAAGAGTCATCACAGTTTCTTATTTTGTTACACAATCATGATTTCAGTTTACATTTTTTAATGTTGTCAAATAAGTTTGATACACTGAATTTGGCCGAATTAGATGAACTTTTATTGAATTACATAAAAACGAATTTACTATTACATGACAACATTAGTTCCACGTTTTATGAATTCTCGACCGGCCCCGTGCGACAGCACGGGTTATCGACTAGTTTGTTCTTAAAATGTTATTTTAGATATTTCATCATTTTAGTGAAACTTATTTTGAATATCAAAAATTTTAAAAATCTTTTAATTTTAAAGCTATTTCAAATAGCTTTTTATAAAAATCATTTTTAAAATATAATTTTTTGAAAAATCTGCTATTTTGACTATATTTTGATATTCAATAATATATATATGTTATAGAATTTTAAAACTAGTCATTCAAATAAGAAAAAATAATATAAAAAACCTTGTAATATTTCTTAAAATCTATTTTCATAGGGAAAATTTTCTATCGATTATTTAGACTCCTCTTGAGTTTTTAGTGTTTAGGTGATCAAGTTTGTTTCTGATTTTAGAAAATAATTTTTTTCATTGTATTTTTTAAAACGGATTTTAGAAAACCGTTTTTTAAAATATCATGAATTTTTTTATATATATTTAAAAATAAATAAATTGAAACACTAAGTTTGAAATCTTATAACATATATTGAAGACTTAAATATAGTAAAAATTGCAATTTTAAAAAAAATTATATTTCAAAAATAATTTTTATGAAAATTTATTTGAAATAATTTTAAAATTAAGTGGCTTTTTGAAATTTTGATATCCAAAGAAATTTCAAAATGCCGTTTTATACTTATCATCTTCATTAATCTGAATTTGCCAATAGCCAGATTTCATATCGAATTTCGAAAAGATTAAAGCAGTGTTTAATCTATCTAATAAATCTTTTTTATTAGGAATAAGATATCTAATCCATTTCAACACCTTATTAAGGGGTTTATAATTGATAACAAGTCTAGGGACGTCGCGTTCTCTTTCAGCAGCATTATTAACATAAAAAGCAGTGCAACTCCAAGGAGATTTAGATTTTCTAATTAAACCTTTCTCTAAAAGAGAATTTATTTCTTCCTTACATAGGTTTAAGTACTCATGATTCATTTGGGTTGGTCTGGCTTTAGTGGGAATCTGACTTTCATTAAAGTCATCTAGATAAGGTAAAGAAATAACATGTTTCTTTCTATCCCAAAAAGCATTTGGCAAATCATTGCAAACTTCATCTTTAAACTGTTGATCAATTAATTTGATTTGTCATTTTATCTCATCTTTATTAAGTTGTTCATTAATATTTAATAAACTAATTTCTTCTTTAAGAAAACCTAATTGTTTTTCTTTATTTAAGAGAATACTTTTAACCTCATTAAACATTTTAATATGAGGATCAGTAATGAATTCAAAAGTGACTTTCTTATCATTAATCATGGTGGTGATGCCTTTAGTGCCAACATTTATTAAAGGTATAATGTTATTTAAAAAAGGAGTTCCAAGAATAACCTTGTGAGTCATGTTTTTAACTAATATAAAATGGGTAGGTAAATAAATATCTTGATTGCAAACGTAGGTATTAGGTAATTTATAATTAACCATTAATTTGTCACCACTAGCCTGAGCAAGGGTTTGAGTGGTTTTGGTATAATATTTGGTAGGAACAATTTCTTCCCGAAGACAATTAAGGTCAGCGCGCTATCAATAAGGGCGACTTCATTCT